TTAAGACCACAATGAGATATCGCCTCACACCAATAAGGATGGCTACCATCCAAAAGACAAACAACAACAAATGTTGGCAAGGTTGTGGAGAAAGGGGAACCCTCCTACACTGCTGGTGGGAATGTAAATTAGTTCAGCCATTGTGGAAAGCAGTATGGAGGTTCCTCAAAATGCTCAAAATAGACATACCATTTGACCCAGGAATTGCACTTCTAGGAATTTACCCTAAGAATGCAGCAGCCCAGTTTGAAAAAGACAGACACACCCATATGTTTATCACAGCACTATTTACAATAGCCAAGAAATGGATGCAACCTAAGTGTCCATCAGTAGATGAATGGATAAAGAAGATGTGGTACATATACACAATGGAATATTATTCAGCCATAAGAAGTAAACAAATCCTACCATTTGCAACAACATGGATGGAGCTAGAGGGTATTATGCTCAGTGAAATAAGCTAAGCGGAGAAAGATGAACACCAAATGATTTCACTCATATGTGGAGTATATGAACAAAGAAAAACTGAAGGAAACAAAACATCAGCAGAATCACAGAACCCAAGAATGGACTAACAGTTTACCAAAGGGAAAGGGAATGGGGAAGATGGGTGGGAAGGGAGGGATAAGGGTGGGGGAAAAAGAAAGGGGGTATTATGATTAGCATGTATAATGTAGGGGGAGGGCTGTGCCACACAGAGAAGATGTAGTGATTCTACATCTTACTACGCTGATGTTGTAATGGGGTTTGTTGGGGGGACTTGGTGAAGGGGCGACCCTAGTAAACATAATGTTCTTCATGTAATTGTAGATTAATGATAAAAAAATGTGGAAACTAAAAAAAACAAAAAAGAAATGAATACCAAAAAGGGTGAAGAAAACCTACTTTGGTCTTTAAGAGTAGTAGCTGGGGGTAAAAGCAAGTGTCCAAAACTACGTCAAGAATGAAATTGAAACAAGCCTTCCCTCAGCCACCTGCAGATTGTGTTGCTGAACAGCTGTTCATTCCACAGAGGTGAAGCACAATGGCCCCACAGCCTCACTGGATGAGCGTGCTTGCCTTATGTTAAAAGGAGTGTTGATAGCTAAAAGCTATGGCTTGGCATTCTGCTTAATTATGTTGTTGAAGGGCAACTTTTATCATGAAGACAGAAAATAAACAGCTTAACTCCATGACCATCCTGGCTGTAAACCAAATGTCATTGTATGAATGTAATTACTCTGGCAATAGATATTAACATTGCCCTCCATAAAGAAACACCAATTTGGTGTTTATGAATACCAATCTCATTACACTTTTTTTCTGTTTCAGTGGGCAGTAGGAACCACATTATATAAGCTTTGTTTGACTACCTATATATTAAATCAGCTTTGCAGCAGCCAAGACACTACTGAAAAACAGACTTTATTTTTTTCTGCCTCTCCTTACTAGTGTGTAAGTTCCATATGCTCCATGTGGTTAAAGACCACATCTGTTTGGCTCACCATTACACCCCAGTGCCTCGCAGGATACCACACATAGCAGGTATGAATGAATATGGCCTGGTAAGAGTCAGGACGCTCCATGACTTGTATTTGCCTTCAAAGCTGTATTAATTTCTTAAGACTCTGGATATTCGAGTGTGTTACAGCATTACTGGTCAAGAGGAACTTAAAGTTTAGCCAGAATAAACTAAATAAATTAGATCAAGATGAAACCCTAATAACAACAAAGGAGGGAGATTTAAAGCACATAGATGAAGAATAATGGGTCTGGGAGACAATGGGGTAAAAAAAATAGCGGGTTTCTGGGACTATCACCTCTCAAAATCTGGAAATCACTTTTAAAGACTGAACTACAGTCTTTGAAACCTAGACCCTGAAGAGAAGTGGCTGACTTGACATGAAGAGATTTGGGACTCTGGACTTCCTCTGTATTGAAATCTCATTTCTAGTCAAAGTTTAAAGGTATGACCTTTCTTTGTAAGCCTGGGTTCAAGTCCCAGCTCTGACCACCCACTGAGCTCTATTTTGAACAACTTACTTCATGTCTCTAAACCTCTATATTTTGTTTACCTTCCACGAGTGTTGCAAAGATTAAATTAGATAATAGGGAAAAAGTTTGCACAATGCCTGGGACAAATACTCATTTATGAAACACAGACATAATAAATGTGCCTGTGATATAGTAATTTCTGGATTTAAAAGATGAATTCAAAATTGCTTTGACCTCCAAGAGCCCACTAACAGGCCCACCATGAGATTCTGTTTCATGTGCACAAAAGCATACTTCTGTCCCATTCAAGCAAGCGTGCACCCTGGTTATCAACCAACATCTATCACCTGATCCCAGAGAAGCTGAGGAGACAACCAGAAAAGCTCATGGAACCTGTCCTGGAGTTCTTTGGGTTTGAAAAGTCCATGAGTCTCTTTCTGACAGTTTGTTTCCCAGCACCAAGTAATGATAATGTTGAGAAAATGCCTTGGATTTTATTTAAGGTAAGGTAAATTGTTTCATAACAGCATCATTTACCTATTTTCTTTTTTAATCTACTGCTTCTAACCTTGGCTGCAATTAGAATTACCTCAGTAGTTTTTAAACCATGAACTGCCCTGTCCTCAACCCCAGATCAGAACCTCTCAGGAGATGGAGCCCTGGCATCTTAGTTTTAAAAGCTCCCCAGGTGACTCTAATAGATCCAGAGTTTAGCAAACTAGTGGTTTAATCCACTGGGACCCCTGTAGTCTAATCATTTTTATTTAAAAAAAAAAAAGACAAGTCTAGAGTCTAAGAGCAGCCTAAGAGAAATGATTAGCAGTATTCTCATATAATTATAGTATTCAAAGCACTTTAATAAAAATGACCAAATCCTAGCAACCTCTGACAAAAGTGGTATTATCCCAATTTAGAGATGAGGTGACTGAGGCCTGGAAGGTAAAGTGACTTTGTCCAAGTTCAGAACTACCAATGGTAGAGCCTAGGCCTGAATTCAGGCCAGCTAACACTAAATGGTTTTTTCTTCTCACTACATTACAAGCCCTTGTGCCTCTCTGAGTCCTGAGCACTGCAGTAGGACCACAGCAGCCCTAGGAAAATATGCCTTGATCTGGATGGGAGATTCTTTCACTCAAAGACAAGAAGCAGGGCAGTACTGATAAAACTTTTGGGCTCTGGAGTCTAAGAGAGGGTTCAAATCCCTGCTTGGTATGACCAAGGAAAACTTAGTAAATATCTGATTCCTCATCTGTAAGGTGGTTTCATGCAGAACCAACTCAGGGAGTCAGGAGGGTAAACTGAGATCATGAATCTAAATGTTAATGATGATTAATACTGCCTACAAAAGAAGACATCTTTATTCACAGGGTCATAAACTGAAATGACACTGTGCCTGTGTTTGTATCCCACATGCTAGGTGGGGGTGAACTTGGACAAGGAACTCAATCACCCTGAGCCTCAGTTTCCTCACCTGTAAAAGGAGAATGATAATAATAGTTCCTACCTAGAAGGTTATTCTAAGAATTCAATGAATAAATATGCACAACAATATGGGTTATATAAGTGATAGCAACTGGCTGGCCCATAGGAAGCTTTCAATGTTGTTATCATCATCACGGTTACTCTGAAACCAAATAACCAGACTCTCCCTGAGGCAGAGGGGAGGGAAGCCAAGTGTGGGTGGTTGGGAGGCATGGGGAAACCCACAGTCACCTGGCTGGAGTTTTCCATCACTGGCTGCAGCCCCCTTCTTGATGAGGTGGGTGATCTGGAGATAGGGCCCATGCTGGATGATTATCAGGCCTAGTCCCAGGCTGCCCACAGTGAGATTGGTCTGCTGAGTTTTGCTCAAGTTGTGTACAGATGGCTTGACCTTAAGGTTGATTTGTCTTTCTAAGAAAAAGAGGGAGATTTCTTTTAGTCCTTCACCTAGACCACAGTCACAGGTTCTAAAAGCAGACCCCTGGGAGAGTTACTTCACCTCTCTATTCCTCTGTTTTGTTATCAGTAAAGTGGGGATAATAAAATGTCTGCCTCGGAGGATTGTTACAAGAATTAAATGAGATAATTAAAGGGCTTTTGCACAGTGCCTAGCACACTGTGAATGCTTAATCAATGTTAATTATTATCCATCCACTCAACAAACACTGAGGCAGGAAGTGTACTAGGAAAACAGCAGTGTTTCTTGCCCTCATGGATCTTCCAGCCTAGTGGAGGAGACAGGTATCAGTCACATAAACACTGGATAGCAAACTGTAACACACTGTGCAAAGGAAAAGCATACATTGCTCTGAGGGTGACCAACAGAAAGCCAAGGTTTCCTGTGGGGAAGGCAGGTCAGGCTTCACAGAGGAGGTAAAATTTGAATTGAGGTCCAAAGGCCCAATAGGAAATACATGGGCACGGGAAGGTGAGAGTCAGCTAATTGGCTCAAGGTTCTGAAGCAGAAAAGAAAGACCGTAGAGGAGACCAGCAAGGGGCAGACAGAGCAAAGCTGGCTGCCGGGCTGCTGCTCGGGTTTACCTAACGGGAGAAACTTAGAAGCCACTGAAGCGGGACACAGTATGGTTGATCTGTACTTAAAAATCCCTCTGGCTGCTGTGTGGAATGTGGACTGTGGGGTCCCCAGTGGAAGTGGAAAATGAAAGGGTTTCTGCAGTCATCCAAGAAGGTTGGCAATGACAGTAGAGACAGATATTTGGGAGGAAAATCTGGGATAGTGGGTAGTGGGAGGGGTTGAGATATGTTTCCTATAGCACTAAATCTCACTAGAAAAGTTTCAGAGACTGAGGAGTAACTCAAAACAAGTTATGTTCCCAAGAGGAAACTTCTGAGGAGAGTTGTGTTCAGTACACATTGAAGCTTCTGAGGAGATTTGCTTTCACACTTTTCCAGCATTTCACACACACACACTACTTAAGTGACAAACTGCTACTTGCCAAATCCATGTGACTGTGGTATTTTGGGGCCCACTATTGAGTGGGGCTTCCCCTGCTTCCCACCCCTCCACCCCCACCCCAGCTCAGGCAGATGGCCAGTTTCATGACCCTTCTGTCCAAGCAAGCACCCCTGCCTATCTCCAACCTCACATGCCCAAAAACCACAGATGCTCCCTGGAAAATAAAGTAACCTAGTATAAAGAAGATACCGTCTTCAGAGACTTTTCAACATTACAGGAGCGATTTGGAGCAGGTCGTCCCCTCCTTGAGCTTCTGGTTCTTGAGAGGTTAAAACATGTTTTCATATTTAGAAAACAGAGAAGACATCTTAGGCAGGGTCTGAGTTCCAACCTCAACTTGCATATTAAATGTGCTTATGATATATATCTATGAATTCCAGTCTCAAAAGACAGAAGAGGTAAGTGAAAAGCCAGACACATAAGATTCCATTTTTATGAGGTTCTCTGAAAAGCAGACTGGAGTGTCAGGACCTGGGGTGGCAGAAGGGATTGATCACAAAGGGGGCATCATAAGGTAATTTGGGGGTGGGTGTCGAACTGTTCTGTGTCTTGACTGTGGTGGTGATTGTTTTACTTGGATATGCGTTTGTCAAAACTCACAGAGCTGTACAGTAAAAGGGGGGGTCTTACTGTATGTAAATTATAGTTTAGTAAACAAATGATGGCAAGAGGCGATCTCCCAGGCCAAGAATGTGACATTCCCATTTTACAGAAGAAGAAGTGAGGAAGGCTTGGTCCCAAGGCACCACCCCTCTCCCCACTCCTCAGTTACCTTTTCCGCGTTTGTGGAAGCCCTCCTCCATAACCCCGGGAGGGCAGGCCGCTCAGGAGTCCCTCCCCACCCTACCCTAACCGAGACTAGAATCCGTCCAACGCCCAACTGCTGGGAACCCTGGAGGAGTCAGCGCACTTGTAGGGCTACCACTGGGGGCGCTACCCCGAGGCGGGCCGCCAGGGGGCGCTGCGGCGGAGACGCCCGGACTTAAGGCTGCAGCCCTGCGGTCACTGCCAAAGCCTCAGTGGGTCCTGGAAAATGGAAATTGTCAAAATGTTGGTGGAGAAAAGCAAAGCTTCTGAGTGAACTAGCACAGTGCCGAACTCGCAGTAGGTTCGTCATCCATTCTTGGGAAAATACTGAAATGGAGAGGGTGGAGGAAACAGAGGAGGGTGTCTCAAAAATGTGGTCTACAGAGGAAGGTCACAGCTAGATCACAGAACAGCGCAGACGCACCTGCTGCTCTCGCAATAATGGCATTTTTAAATACTTACGCATTTACAGCTCCAACTACTTTGTAACTACACTTTTTTCATGGGTGTTTTGAATGAGGAAAGGCCAAGAGTGACCAGAAAAAAATGAGTCACGATTAGGAGAGGAATTAATTCTTCCTTTTTTCCCAAAATAATCCTTCCTCCCTCACACATTCACTTATACAACAAATATTTAATGGAAACCCGCTTTGTGGTTTGTGCTGATGCTGGGGACACAACACTAGATAAGATAAACAAGAGCTCTAGCCTCTTGGAACTTCAATTTTAGAAACAGATGAAGGCAGCAGTTTTAGGAAAACAAACATAAGTTCTAGAAGAAACAGAAAACAATGTAATGAGGTAGATCCTGTTGTTATCCCCACTCTGATAAAACTGAGAGGCTAAGCACCTACATTCATGCCTTCAACAAACAGTAATTAAGCACCTATTAGGAGTCAGGCACTGTGCAAAGATTTCCATGGAAAATCTGGGCAGGCTGCAGCTTATTCTTTTTCTCTGGCTTTACCCAGACAATAAACCAGGGCAGATTTCTGGTTGGATAAATCTCGTGTTGCAGACACTGACAGGGCAGTGAACAGAGACGACCTATTCACCACTATTCTCAACCTGATGGAGTCTCTGGCAGGTGGTTTTTTGTGATAGATCACCTGTTTCCTCTTCTAAACAGTCAGACAAGGCATCTGCCCAGATCCCAAATTAATTCTATCATAAAGTGCAGGCTTTCCCCCCATTTTCCTATGAAGGAATGGTGACAGTCTATGGACATAAAGCACATTAGTTGTCAACGTTCTGTGAGGGAGTATATTAGTGCCTGGAACACAGCAGGTCCATCCACCTCCCCTCCATCCCAGGCTGAAAACGCCATAGAGCAGACACCAAGGGTACCCTGGTTGGTGGAATAGAAGAATATGAACTGTGTCATGGATGCTGGGTCTTGCTATCCAGATCTCCCTTCAAGACTGAAAGACTTACTCCAACCCCTGCACCCCACCCCTACTGCTAACTGAAGGAAGCTCCTTGCCCAAGGTCACCCTGGCAGCTAGTATCCAGTGACTAGTCAATGCAGGGTGAAACACCTGGTTCCCTCAGCCCAGCTCCAACAACTCTGGGCCCCCACCCCAACTTCAGAGCTCCTACAAGGTCCACTAAGCTCCTCCTGTGGCTGCACTACAACCCAACGTCTCCCTCTGCCAGCTTGGCTTCCTTCCTTCTCCCCACAGGTGTGGGTCCTAAGAGCACTCCCCAGTAAACTCCCAGCGGCTCAGGGTTTCCTAGAAAACCCACCCTGCAACATCTAGTGTCAGGAATGGTCTGATGCTAAGGTGGGATTTGGAGCTGGATAACCCACTGCCCAGATAATAAGCCCCATCCCAAGAAGGAGCGTGTAGATAGCCTTGAGCATAGGGAAGCATTAAGATTGTTCAATTCTTCACCAGTTGTAAAATGGAATGGTTTGGTGCCCACATGATCCATCTGGGTGTCTCCTAGCATTTCTTTGCCCTATTTTCACAGTAAATGGACAAACAGAGTAACCACAGATTGAGAAGTACACGGCAACCAGGGGGCTCAGACTCTTCAGGACTGGAGGTGCAGGCCACCCCACACCATCAGCCACCTAGACTACCCAAGGTGCTAATAGAAGGTGAGGGAATCTAGGATGGACAGGAGGCAAGCAAGCAATGAGTGTGTCAGTTATGCTCCAAGATGAGCCACAGCAGCAGTGGGAGCTGTAGTTTGTCCTATTAACCTTCCTTTTAGAAGTTTTCCATGGGAAAAGATGCCCACCAGAAAAAGTTGGAACGGCCGTACTGCTTTGGAGCTCCCCGGGGTCACCCAAAGCCTCCTGTGACTGCAGCCAGACTGCTCCCTCTGCTCAGTCCTGCCTCCTCCCCTTCCCTCACAGTTCATCCTGGGAACACTCCCTAATAAACTTGCTGCACACAGATCAATGATCTCTTCTCCAAGTCAGATCCACTGGAACCCAATCCATGAGACTAAATAAGATTTGAGCCCAAGGTACAAGCTGCTACCCTCTGGGTTTAGCTCTTTGGTTTTATATAATCCCAGGAACCCCGGGTACACTCTGTGGTGCATCCACCACACTCTCTTGGCCTGCAGGGTAAACTAGACCCCAGGGAGGCACTGTGTGTTCTTTGTCCTGTCAGGCCAAAGAAACTCACTAAAGACAAGAGTGACTGCACAGTCCCCTCCACAGCTTTCCCTGAGGTCCCATCTGGATTCAGCTTCTGCTGGGCCAAGGCATACCATCCATCACAATAAAGCATGCCATGCTCAGAGCCCTTTAACAGCCGCAGAATAGCTATTTGTGACTTCAGGCTGCCAGCATAGCTTCCTCCTGGGGCCTTCTGTTTTCTTCTGGATACCCAAAGACTTCCTGCCTTAAGCAGTCTAAACAGAAAACGTCCCAGCTGCTTTGTTTAGGAGTGAAAGGATAGAGAGGTTCTATCACTGAAGCAGAGTGCCTGACTATGGGAGTCTGTTAGGTCTAATGGGGGAAAAAGGCCCAGAGAGGTGGCATGACTTTTCCCAAATTCAAGTCAGCAGGGATGAGACTAGAATACGGTTCTGCATTCTTTTTATAACATCATACCACCTCTCCCTAACCACTAGGGTTTTATTCTACTAAAATCTGGACAGATACAGAGAAGAAAGGATCTAATCTGGTCCTTAGATCCAAGAGACAGTTGGAACTTTAGAACACCAGGTGTGTTGGAAGACAAGGAAGAGATGTGGAGCTAAAAACAGGATTAATGGGAAATTGTAAACACAGTATTTGGTCCCTGTCCACCCCTCTCATCCCACTCCTGGTGGGTAACAATGAAGGAGATAGGTGACTGTTATCATAGCAACATGCAACCTTAAATCTAGCAAAAAACGTTAAAAATTTTAAAACTCCATACTAGTTGTTTTTATGCTTTAATCTTATATCCAGAACCTTTTGTGGAGGGGCAGAGGCACCAGGCACTGGGAAGTGCTGCCTGGGTAGAAGGAGAAATTTATACTTGTATTTTTACAAGTCATAAGAATCAAGTCACATCATTCCACGTAGCTGGAGTTTGAACAGGCAAACTGCCACAACATTTCACCCTAGGATACTCATTAAATGCCCAATAGTGGACATTATTCAGAACTGTGTAGTTGGAGTCTCTTCTATTCTGGGCAATAGAAACATTAGACAAGAAGCCAAGAACATGACTCCATATCACACTTCTTCAGTACTTATACAAAAGTAAAGACCTCATGCAGTAGTATGATATGCATATCTGAATCCCTGGAATATATAAATCAGCTTGTGCAATTTCTGTGGCAGAGGAAAAAACAAATGGTATCATAATTTAATAAAAGATTCTTCCCCCCAAGATACCAATGTTTGCTCAGGAAAGTTGATAGACTAGTAACCTAATCATCAAATCCACCCTTACCCAATCTATGTGGCAACCCTGATAACCCTCTGAATTTCTGCAAGGCTGTTGGATTTGGTGGAATTTGAAACTTGCTGAGTTTTGTAGACATAAAGGCATCCAAAAATATAGACAGAAGTCATTCTTCCAGGTCTTTCTAGAGATGACCTAGGTAGCATTTGAGGAGAAAATTAGTGTCTCTTCTATTTTTAGCATGGGGGACTGTCTGAGAAAGAGAAGAGCTTGATCCAAAGTCAGGGTAATAGTGATTTGGTCCATGAGTCATGAAATAATATGAAACCTCCACTAGAGAGCAAAATTGTACATAGATATCATCTGTATTGCTAACAAATTGTGTCAGTATTTTGTTTTTTCTGTTTATTCATCCAACCTAAGCCTCTCTGCAGGCCCCAACTCAGTAAATAATATAACCAAACACCTGGCTATTCAGACCAAAAATTTAGGAGTTATTTGAGTCTTTTTTTTCCCAACCCTTTCCCCATTCTCAGCTAGTCGTGCCCTCTGCCTACAGAGAATCCAAATCTGTCCATTTTTCTCCATCTTCAGTATTCTCATCCTTGCTAAAGCTACATGTCTCTCTTCTGGACTGCTTTGCCTGTTAACTGGTATCCCTATTTTCATTCTTGCCGCTCCTCCCTACCCACCACGCTATTCTTATAGAGAAATCCTGTCACTCTCCTGCTAAAATCCCTCCACTGCCTTCCCCATGCACTTAGAACAAAATTTACTCTTTACCACGGCCCCCAAAGCCTGACATGTGGCCTCAGCCTACCTCTGCGGGTTTTCATTGAACTCTCCAGCCAAACAGGCCATATCACAGTTCCTTGAACAGGCCAACCTCTTCCCTACCCCCTCCCCTGATGCTGTTTGCACCTGCTTTTCCCTGTCTGGAGTGGTCGTGCCCAGATCTTCATAGGTCAGGCCTTTATGATCCTGGCGGTCTCAGTAACCTTCTCCGACCATCCTAAGTATCACCACTCCGCCATCAGACAGACCCCCATGTAATTCATAGATCAACACAGTAAGTGACCTTTACTTTAAACATAAGTTTTAAACGTATTTCTGTCTTTTCCCCACCAGGATATAAGCTTCAAGAAAGCGAGTACCTTGTCTCTCATGTCACTCCAGTACCCCCAGGACCTCAACTGCCTGACCCACAGGTGGCCATAGTTAACCTCCTGACAGTCCCGGGGCTAACACACGAAAGCGGCAATGATGAAACAAGGTGACGACGGCTGTCGGAGGAGTCGGGGCCCTCCTACTGCTGGAAGACGGGCGCCCCCCACCCCACTGAATCCAGTCTCCCTTTGAAAGGCTAAGGGCTGAGGCCCATTTGGTGACCAAAACACGATCCTTAACAACGATAACATTATTATTATTGGCAATACAGCCAAAAGGTGGCGTTGCCTGCCGGAAGAGACCGGGAACGGGGCAGGGGCCTCAGCCCGGTCGGGCTCGGGACCCGGGCAGCGAGGCGGGCGGCCAAGCAGAGGCGCAGAGCCCGGTGGATACGTTTCGCTCGCTGCGGCCGGGAACTCGGAGCCGGCCTCGCCAGCGCCGCGCTTCGCTTCCGGGTGAGGGGCGGGACACCCGAGCAGTTCCGGGGCGGGCGGCGGTTCCGGCTGTGCGGGCCGCGCCGCGGCTGCTGGTCCCGGGCGCGCGGAGGGCGCGAGCGGCGCGCGGGGGCCGAGGGGGCGTAAGGCGGCGGCGCGGGGACTCCGGGCCCCGGCGGCGGCCCATGGGGCGGGAGGCGTGAGGCCGCGGCCTGCCCGGGGCTCGGGGGGTGGGGGGAGCGGGTGGGGAGATGGATAAACTGACCATCATCTCAGGATGTCTCTTTCTGGCCGCCGATATCTTCGCCATCGCCAGCATCGCCAACCCCGACTGGATCAACACCGGGGAGTCCGCGGGTGAGCGGCGGGCGCGCGGGTCCGGCGGGGTTTGGCAGAGGGGAGGGGAGACCCTGCTGAGGGGAAAATGCGGCTGGAGGGGGCGAGGCGGGGGTCGGCCTGAGGAGCAAGGGGGCGAAGAGGCAAGCCGGCTGCGGGGCCGAGCGGCTTGGGGGCCGAGGAGAGAGGCGACGGAGAAGAGGACGCGCAGGTCGCTAGCGGGACCCTCGGGAGGCGGGGAGCGGCGCCCCAGGCTGAGGGAAAAGTGGCCGGCCGGAGAGACCTGGGCTGGGCCGTGGAGTCCCGGCTGGGGGAGACAGCCACCGGCCCTGAGGGACCGCGGGGGAACGAGCTTCGTCTTGGATTAAAAAAAGGAAGTCAAGCTGGGAGACCAGAGCTAACGGCTTTGGAGGAAAAGGAGGCGCCTGTGAAGAAATTAGAAACCAGGCGGGGAGGCTGGGGTCGGGAGCGAGGCAGCCGGTGGGGCCCGGCGAGAGCTGCGAGAGAGCCTGTGCGCGGATGGAGGTGGGAGAGCGCCCGGCGAGGCAGGGTCAGTGGTGCTGGGGGATGGGGACGCCGGGCAGGAGCCCCCTCCCGCGCCCCCGCCGGTCCCCTGGACGCTTGGCCATGTTTGAGAAGCTTGTGGCTTCTGGGAGCTATAATTTTATTTTAATTTTTAATCTTAATTTAATTTTAGGCCCGGGAGCTATAATAATACTAATAATAAACTTTATTTTATGGAGCATCTTTCATTCCAGCGCGTCACAAAATGCCTTAGAGATCGTAATAGTTACAAAATTAAATAACACATCAGAGTTGTCGGCAGCCCGGCAGCAGTAGCAATACCTGCTCTACCACGTTGCTGTAGGCAGCGGAAACAAGGTGGTGCCCTCAGGAAAGAGGCGTCTTTCTCAAGGGTAGCTCAGGTGAATGCCCTTGCAAGGCTTTTCTCCGCTTGGGCCGCCACCGCATACGTATACACACACACTCACTCATTTTCACCGAGACCTGTGACACCAAACCTTTAATTAATGTAACAGCTGTCAGGAATGCTGCTGGGAATTAAGGAATGAGCTTGTTTTCTAACTGCCTGTTCAGTGCAGGTGAAGGGAATATTGGGGGTTGGGAATGTCAAACTCCCTCCGTGAATAATTTGTTATAAAAATGTATCACTGTGCTGTCAAACTAACTTCTTAAGCATTACTTATGGTTCTCTATTTATCCTGCAGTATTTTTAGCTCTTAAAAAAGCTGTAGCTGGGACATTTGTTGCTTCCTCCTCCCTTCTATTCCTCCATCTAGGCCTAGTAACACAAAATCAGATTTACTGGTTATTCAAATAACACTAAAAAAGTTCTCCTTTTCTTGCCTACACAGTTTTAACAGAGCTCTTAATCGTAAAGTATATATGGTTATTATGAAGTGATGGAGGTGTTAACTAATGCTATGATGGTAATACTGCAATATATAAATATATCAAATCAACATGTTGTACATGGTAAACATACAATGTTATGTATCAATTATATCAATTTTTTTAATTGTAAAGGTTTTACTAGTAAAGGTATAACTGGTAGTTAGTACAGTTGTATGTGTGACATCCAGTCCATCATGACCTGTTGTTTTTATCCTAATTATATTTGCGCTGATTGCTCTTATGTGACTTTCTTTGGGGCTTTACATACTTAGGGGCAAAGAGGTTTCACAGTTCTAGCAAAAACTATCCTTTTGCAAAGGAGTTTAGGCAGAATCTCAATGTATAAAATAGACTAAATGTCTGTGAGAGAGGGAATTGTTTCCTATGCAGAAGAAAGCAATAATTAATAGGATAATATTCCTGGGGAGATGAGAAAAGGCAGCACTTAAAGCCCCGGAAAAGGGATAGCCCCTCTATTATACTAGAAAGCAAGAAAAGGATGAGTACAACCCCTCCAACTTAGTAGGCACAGTCATTAGCAGTGAGATGCCACAGAGATGGGAGGGACAGGAACCCAGAGTTTGAAGGAAATAGAAAATGTTTGAAATAAGCAAATAGTTGCAGAGAGAGCAACCAGCGACATGGTAGGATTGTCTAGCAGCACAGAAGCCTTGTTGAAGTAAGTGGTCATGAACGTACAGTGTGATAACCCATCTGCCTTGTTGCCTTTCTCTAGTATTCCTCAGCTGCTTTGGTACCAGTGTGTGGTAAAAGCCAATAGAAGGTTCCATTCAGGGTTGGGGTTTGTCAGATATATGCAACAAAATGACAGTGGAACAGGTTTTTAAAGTATTGGCCAAAACAGCATTGTAATGAGGGCTCATGGAATCTCAGTGGTATGACAAGTATAAGTGAAGAAAGGAAAATGCTAATGTATTGGTCAATGAACAGCAGGTGGTACATGGTCAGTGGAATAGTAAACCCAATAGATGGGAAGACCTGACTGGAGTGATTGATACAACAAAGTGGAAGAGCAGGGTATTGTGGGCACAAGGTCCAGAGTATGACAGTGGGGATATGTGGCTAAAGTGGGATGGAGGAGGTCATTTTTTTCCCCAGCAGTTTTCCTTGCCATCTCTTGACACCCTTCAATTCATATTCTTTAGCTGGAAAGGAATAATAGGGTAATAGGGACAGTAGGAAATTTTTTCAAAATCATATCTAACCCGTGCTTCTTACCTTAAATATGTCAGACAATAAACCCCCCAAAACTTAAAATGAATGGGATGTGTGCCTTTGTTCACTCTTGTGCTCTTGCACTGTGATAAGATGCACCTGATCTTTGCCTGGTATTTGAACTTGTATCCTCACTGTACACTTTCATCTGAGCAGACAGATCCAGTCTTGAGTTAAAAAAAAAATGCAGTTACACCTTTCAAATCAGTGAAAGTTCAAGTAAGGTCTCAGGTGACAGGACTAGCTTTATTCTAAAATATGTACAAAAGTGGCTTAACCTGGCAGCAAAAGGTTAAAGTGTTGGTTCTCTTCAGTGAGTGCATTATATATAGCATATAAAAGTTTGGGTTGTGATGTTTTTACTGTGATTTTTTTTAAATTGAAAAAATATATTTTGAAAGGAGAGCTCCTGGAGACAAAAGGTTCTGCAGAATATGGTTAAAAAGCCACTTAGTAGTGAACTACTAAAAGAAAATTTCAAGATTGAAAGACAAACTTGATGACTTAACTAGCTCTGTGGCTCTGGGCAACTTAGTCTTTCTTTGTACAGCTCCCCCTCTGTAAAGCAGGGATAATAAATAATACCTCACTGGGTTTTTGTGATGATTGAGTTACTACATGTAGAACATTTAGAACAGTGCCTGACATGAAGTAAGTGCTCAGTAAAATGTATTGTTGTATTGTTCTAGGTTATAGTAACAGGTGTCAGAATCCCAGGTTTCAAAGTATAGCTCAGAACTTGTTACTGTGAGAATTGATAATGTTTTCTTTATTAGATGTTCTTGGAAATAAGGAAATTTCATGAATAATATGGCCAGGCTTAGCACAAGTCAAATTTGTTTTTACTCTTGGCTTTGGACTTTCTTCCTCATTCCCATATTGTTTCTCTTCTTTCAGTCTTTCATATCAATATTCTAGTCTCTGTACTCAGCTTCTACGTGAACTACAACAAAAAGAAATATCCCAAAACAAAAAACTGAATAACTTCCTAAAGTCCAAAAGAATAAACTATATTATCATAAGTTATGACCCACACTTCATACTCTCAGTCTTTAGTTTGTTTCTGTTATATTAGTACAAATACAGAGAAAGTACATTGCTTTTATTTTAATCTGTGTGTGGTAACAGTTCCAGAGCTTGTTCAAAAAGCTTTTGGATTATGCACAAACTTTTGAAGATGTAATGGAATAGAAAGAGATATTATGTGTATGGGGAAAGTGCCTGGGGGGAGGTTCTTTAGTAAGGACCCTTAGCAGCTTCTATGAATGTAATAAAAAATGTTGAATAGTAGGTGAATGTAATAGCACAATTATATAATTCTGCTCTGCTGGGGTTAAATTTCTGCTAGTTACTGGAACTCAACATCAATAGCAATAGCTTTCATTTTATATAGTGTTTTGCAGTTTTGAAGCACTTTGTGACTTGATTTGGTTCATTAGGTTTTTTTATATTTGGCCAATGTAAAATAGTAAAATTCTACATTTTTCCCCATGTCAGTGCTTTGCATATGAGATTTGAGTTTCAGTGTTGTAAAGACTCCTATCAAGAAAACTCTTTATTGAATTATTTATGCATACCTTTTATTTATTTAAGTGAGGTTAACATTTTTCTGTGGCTGAAGTTTTTGCCAGGTTACAGAAGAGGGAATAAAGGTTTGGGTTTCAGTCTTGGTGTCCTTTGCTCTGGACAAGTCCCTTAACCCCACTGTCACAGTTTTCTCTTCCCTAAAGAGACAAACTTTTTGTGAAAAAAATGTTTTGTTTTATTAGTTTTAACAAGATCAACAATTTAAAAAGCTGCTTCTGATAAAAAATAGTCTAGAGATCTTTATTGAGGCATCATCTCTTTACAGCAAGAATTTCAGTGACCATTTGGGGTTATATCATCCTAAACCATTCTAGATGGATTTGCTTAGTGTTCTTTATGAAGATTTCCAAATATTTTCTGAAAGTTTCTTCCTGTATGTGAAGGAACTTCTTCCTTGTCTAATCAAGATTTTTCTCTTTAGAATTGGTTATCCCATTCACATTGTAGTTTGTCACCATGTATGTATTCCTGAAATGTTTTCATTTTTCTTTTTTAAATTGTTTAGATCAGATGTTAAGAGTGTTTAAGGAGTCTTATTACCTGATACCCTCTTTGTTTGTATTCTGAACTAATTGAAAACAGTAATTAGCCAAAATATTATTTTATTACTGATAAAGAGGATATTGGAGAATGTGGTGTATCTGTGAATTAGCATCTTCCTCCTACTGGACCATCTTTTTCCTACAATAAGACTTCCAGAATGAAAGAACAAAAGGTGAGTACTCCCTATGGGCAACTTGCTCCCATGGGCTAAATGTTGCACTACATATGTCCAGTTTTCT